GAAAATTTACAAGGTAAATTTTGTAATGGAAATTTAAGACGAATGAATATTGCGAATGAGAAAATCATCATTTAAAAATTTCCCGACATTCTTTTCATATATATACAGTGCAATATAATGAACTCATCGCTCTTTGATCGCAATGCCTAATTAAGTCAAATTAATAATCAAGTAATTGTCATTCAATCATACTTAATTTCTCATCTCCTTCAATTACTGATTTCGAATTATAATCTACTTAACCTCAAAATAAAAATTTTAATTCGACTATTGGAGAATAACCCATATACATATATATTTTAATGATATTATGTAATAATTGAATTGCTCTAAATTTTAATAAATTTCTCTAAGGATATTGCAGCCTAATTTCCTACGATGTAGATATTTCTTTTATGCAATTATATATATATATATATATATCTATTATGTAATTTAGTTTATTCACATTTGAAAAACAACAGGAATTTTAAAATTTACTTGTATATACAAACATCTTATATACTTCGATGAATATTTTGTAAAAGTTGTTTCAGTAGTTTTAAAAAAGTAAAAAAAAAAATTTTCTTTTTAATTTTCCTTTTGTATATAATGTACGCGGGGACTTAAGTATATGGAAACTTAAGATTCTTGTTTTAAATAGATATGGGAATGTTAAAAACTTTCTTTGAAATTCAACGAGAATTTCATAAAATTTCAAATAATTTGTCCTCAATTCGTAAAATAAAAGTTAAGACTTAAGCTTATTAATGGATAAAATTTATAAGAAAAATTTATTCTCGCAGATACAAGGTGAATTCTCAGAATTTTAAAATACTTTTTAAATTAAAAAAGTTTAGTTTTTGCGTTTTTCAGTTTTAAAGGTGATAAGAATAATCGGATTAAGTTTGATAACATTCTCCAAATTGGTCAGTTAGTTTTTATATATAGATAACCATTTGGAAAAATACTATGAGACTGTTCCTTATATTCCTAATTTGAGAATAAATAAATTAAAAGTGGTAATATTTTACTTAAACCATAGCACAATTAGCTCTAAAATTTAATTTAAAATTTAATTTTAATTGGAAACATAAAAGGGATGTCACGCATCGGAACCATTATAAATTTTTAAAATAAAATTATTTCCATTATAACTGTAAATAATAAGTACCTATATATTATAATAGCGTTACTCTAACGTGAATAGATGTATTTTAATAAAACTATGAAAGGTTAAAAGGATAAAATATTCATTGAAAAAATTCATGTTTAGAGATTTTCAATTTATCAAAGAAATATTTACAAGAAAAAGAAAAATATGAAATACAATAATGATTTGGAAAATAATTTTACAAGGACATCAATTATTTACATATAATTTCATTTGCGAAAAAGGAAATTTTATAAATATTCCTGAGTTCTCATTAAAAAATATTTTCCATATAAGATGTAGGGCATTTGCGCTTTACACACAATATTTTAATGATTTAAAAATAATAAGGCCAACAAGGAAAGATAAATGAAAAGAAAAAATTTCAATAGGATTTATAAGGATAATGAATTTTCTAAAATTTATAATATATAAGGTGTGCCGTTTGATTATTAATCGGAAATTTAAATTTAAAGAAGTAGAGAAGTGGTTGCTATTGCTATGAAAATAATGTTCATGTGATTTTGAAGCTACAAAAAATTTTAGTTTTTATAGTCCTTAAAGTGTGATCTTTGATTGATGAAGACTACAATCTCTTTATGTTTTATAGTAGCAGTTCATGTACGCGACTTATTTCAAAAAAATGTTATAAAATAATAAGGTACTGTTGAAATTCTGAACGATAAATAAAGTCAGAAAAATGGGCAACTACCTTGTAAACCCCATTTTCGTCTTATTCTCACTAATCTGTTATAAAAACAGTTTTATAACTTGCCATGTAATTGAATTTTTTTGCATCTTAAGAACAATTATCACATGAACTTAGTCAAAATACTCAATTCGAATCACTTGAAAATCCCTGGTATTTTATTCAGAAATTACTTGAATTTTTCAATTCTGTAAGATTGTATGTACACATTTAATTGAATTTAGAACAGATTTAATTAAGCAGCTTTAAGTTTTTCTTTAAATATATTAAAGAATTCTCTCTTTTGTGTTAAAAAACCAATAATATTATATAGTTGAACATTATATTGGGTATTAAAAACTATTTTAACCTAATTTTTAATTTATTTCATACTGAACTCTAAGCATATCATTATTTCAGCACAAGAAACCTGTTATACACATTTATGTATATAAGAAATAATTTCATTCGCCTCCCCATTTAGTTTGTTTTTTTCATTAAAATAGGGAAGCGACCCAGATATTTATACGCTCGTATTAAAGAGGAAAAAAAAAAAGAAAAACAAGAAGAAATAAAACTAATTTTCTTCCTTTTTCTTAGCGCACTTTTAAAGTTTCAATAACACAAAATAGTGTGTACTAAATAAATAAAATTTAACGGAAACAGAAGCTATGTCGCGACTAAAGGTTCTTCAATAACCGCAAATTATTTCTACCTTTTTGCTCTTCCTTCCAAGTCACTTATAGAAAATCTATTTCTCTTTCTAAACTTTTAATGGCACCTAAGTCACATAGCATAATAGTAACCAACACACACACAATTATTTTTTTGCGTTTTCATTATTTTTTCATCATCAACCTTTTTTCACCTCAGATATTATTTTTTATAGATTTTTTATTATGCAATAAATTTAAAACATTACATTAAATCAAGAAATCCTTGTTCTTTCCTTTACTTTTTGTAAAATTATTAAAAGAAGAAGAAAAAAAGGAAGAAGAAAATATTTTACAAATTTCTCATTTTCTTTAACATTAACTGTGGTATTTAGATTTAAAATGTAGTTACAATTGATTATAAAAGAATAAAATAAGTGGAATTTAAGGATTTAGGATTTAGGTCAGAAAAAGAATAAGAAAACCACAAAACAAAAACCCCATAATGAAATTTCTCATTCAGAAAAACAAAAAAATGATTTGAAAACTTTTTCTTTTCAAAAACAAAAAAAAAACAAACTTTTCCAACACAATGCGTATTGCCTAAGGATATGCAAAAGTAATAAAAATTTAATTGAAAAATATTTGAGGAGGAAAATAATTTTATATACGTCAGACTTATGTTGTTATTTATTGGGATAGTTGAGAAGTTGAATTCCTATTTCAGTTGATCTGCATTTGACTCTTTAAGATTCAAATAAAATCCTTTAAATTTCATTCTTATTCCTTTTCTAATTCAAAGTCAAACAAGAATTTATTCCTTGACATTTAAAAAATAAATAAAATTTTTAAAGAAATTATAAAATAATTTGCACCATTTTTTAAATAATTCGAGGCGAAATCCTTAAATAATAATTTATTCTTTTCGATACTTTCATGCAACTAAAAAGGACAATGTAAAATTAAAACTGAGTCAAAGAAACGAACCAAAAACCATAAAATTCTCATCCATCACACAACAAACAATTAACAAGCTATCAAAAAGTAAATCACACAAAAAAAAAGTTTGTAATGTTCAACAGGTGTTAAAATTACACAAAAAATTTACAACCAAACAAAAAAGGAAGAAAAGAAAAATTAAAAATAAGCGGCGTGAAAAATAAAAGAACCAAAGTGAAAAATTTAAAATAAAAAAAAATCAAAGGATTTTTTTTTCCTTTCACTTAAAAGGACTTTGAATGGTGTTTAATTAAAAAAATTCTCTAAAATAGCAAAATAAGATTTTATTTTTTTTTTCACTAAATTACTGGTGTAAGTGTTACGGTGCATAATGTAAGGATAAGGTTTTTTTTTTTGATAATTACTCAAAAACTATAAAATTTGTTTTATATACAGTAGGGCTTTTTTTATACATTTTATAAGCGTGAATTGTGTAAACTATTTATTTGCAGTTTGTTTTTTTTTTTGTACATAAATTTAAAAAAATAATAATTTTTCAAATAAAATAAAAAGAGATTTACAAAAACCAAAATCGTTTAGAGCTACAAGTACTTCTGGGCTGGAATCGCACTAAAATATTCCACATAGACTGAATTATTTTATTAAACACAAAATGTGTGAAAAGTCGTTGTAGTCATTCCTTTGCATAAATGAATTTTATGTGTTTGTAAGGTTTTTGTCTACATTTAAAACATTTCTGATCTTTATCCTGTATCATTTGAATTTTTTTATCATCCATTATTTAATACGATTTAATGTATTAACGTAAATAGAATTAAAACTTTGATCGAACTTATTTAATTATGATCGAACACAATCGAACATGTTTGAAAATTTTCTGAAAATTACATACAGCTTACAATTATTCAAAAGCATTTGATGAGGAGCTTTTGTTAAAAAAATTCAATTGTTTAAGAGCTTCTGGTAAAAGAAGATAAATTAAATGTGATTAAACAATTTGAATGAGAAGTAATCAAACTTATATTTACTTGTTTCAAACATATTTTTGTTTGATAAAATGTAGTGGAAATCATACTTGAGCTGTATTTTATGCAATGTTTGTATAAAATTGGTGGTACAACAGTATTTCTTATGCACAATTTAAATTTTGTGACCAAAAGAGAAAATTGTGGAAATAATTTTGAAAATATTTGTAATGTATAGTGAATAAATAAAAATTCATTAAGATCATGTTTGATACAGTGCAATTTTTATTTATAAACCTGAAAGTTTCTGTGATACTTGCAACTCTAAATTTACTACAAAAATTTATACATGAAAAATTAAAATGGGAAATTTGAAAATATAAAAGTTCAACTACGTTATGTACATTTTAATTGAATTGGTTTGTTTTATACATTTTAAGGGTATGCGAACAAAAATACAAGGTTCTAAAATTCTAAATTGCACTTTTTTTTAATTATAAAAATAAAAAAGTGAAACTATTTCTTATTTAATTTTGCTTTCTACATAATTTTATACTTTTAAGCAATTTTTTTTTTTATAAAAAGAAATTAAAATTTCCCACCTTCTTGGGCACGACATATTGTGTGAATCCATAGCAGCGCTGGAATGGATTTCGGTGTATTTTTTTATTTTATAATTTGTTATTGTCATTTTTTTTTTTTTTAAATTAAATTTGGTAAATCCAGGTTTTTTTATGTATGTTTTTAATTAAATAATTTGATTTTTATTTGAAATTATGGTTTTTTGATACAAAAAGAAAAACATTAAAGGAAAAAATTTTTTAAATTATTTTATTTATGAGTATAGTATGTAAAAAAACATTTAAAACAAAAAAAAATTGTTATTTAATAAAAAAAACAAAAATGTTAATAAAAAAAATGCATTGAATTTCATACTGGAAAGGTTTAAATTTTAAAATTTAATTATTATTGCAATTGTTGCAATTATGAAGTTCGAATTTCCGGTTAAAGTTTAAATAATAAAGTTTATAATTTCAAGATATACCGGACATAATATTAATATTCACTTTTACATAGGATAACGTGATTTACCCTCAAAATATTGGACGTAATATGGCTTAGAACTTAAATGTTGTTAATTAATAATTGATTTTTATTTTGAAATGAGTGTATTGTAAAATAAACCACGAAAATACGCCTAGAAATCCCAGCAATATTGCTCTTTAAGAAATTAGTTTCAAATCTTCTTGGTCTTAATGGTGCAGCTCATTGTTCTAATATTTTAAAATTTGAATATTATTTCAAATTTTCGAATAATTCCTTTCTGAGTTGAGAATCGTTTAAAAATTTATTTTTTACCATTTTTAAGTACTAAAATAGAAATATTCTCAAGTTGATTTGGAAAATACGAGTATTGTTTCTAGAATAATCCGTGTGTGATGAATTGCTTGTAAAAAGTGAGTGTTTTTGTATTAATATATTTGTTTTGTATATTGCATTTGGGAAGTGAACTTTTACAGGAACCATTATATAAAACTTATGAAGCGAACATATTTTAGAGGTACATACTTTTTAATCGGGAACATGTTTAATATAAATCTTATTTCAGTAATAATTGCATAAATTACAAACTACTAATTATACTTATTTAAGCTTTTCACAGCAATCATTAATAACCCAAGAAAAACTCATGCAATTTTTAATATTAAATTGAATGAAATTTCATTTTAAACCAACAATTTATATATTTTTTTTTCAATTACAAAATTTTATTGAATAAAGTGCACCACCTTAAACCTCATTTCATTATTATCAATTGGATTAAAATTTCATATTTTACATATTATTATGCAAAGAAAAAAAAATATGATTAAACAAATTTTTTAAATCTAGTGTTATTAAATTCTTAACACAAAGCGTTATTAACAATCATTATGTTTTTAATATTGTAAATTAATATGTAAAACACTCATATGTACGTATGTATTTAAAAAATGGAAAAACTACAATATTGTATAGTATTGGTTTTCTTTGTATAAATTTTAACATTTATATTATTCTTACTCACTTTTTTATAGGTTCTATTTTTTGGGGTGGTTCTCGAAATGAAATACGATTTTTATGTAAAATTTGTAATTTTTGGTCTTCTTCAGTGAATTCGACATGTTTCCTGTGAAATTACATTATAAAAATGTAATCTACTTTATAATAAATTTCATAAAGCACAAAAAAAAAAATTAAAATATTTAAACAGCGTAAATCTAGTATATAAACTAAAATAAATTTACTCTAAATTTTTTAATATAAAAATTTAAGCCTACTTTAACGAAAAAAAACAATAAAAAAAGCCTATATGTTTTCAATTTATTAAGTATGTAAATTGTTATAACAAGCTCTCAACTTTTGTATAACAGTTAATTTATATATTATGTATATATATATACATATATAATTATTGTAATATATAACAATATTAAACATTCCATTCAGTTATTATTGTTATACTTATAAATTAAAATTTAATATTATTCTTCACTTCTTCACCATTATACAATATGGTACACATACAATAATTTTCATTTTTCTTATAAAATCGAATTTAATTACGAGTAATTTTCATTATTTAGGTATATAGTTCCAGTATGAAATTCTAATATATTTAAAATAATAATTAAAATAAATAATATTTTTATCGTATAATATGTAAATTTATTTTTATTCGAAATTTTTTGTTACAGAGTGTAATACATTGAAATTGACGAAATTAATATAAAAAAAATGTTATACTTGTACCTGCATTTGTATAATATAAGTATGTATAAGGAACATCCAATCGAACAAACACAATCATAAATATTATACAGATATTATAGTAGTGAAATTTTATTTTTTTCATATTGTTAATAAATTATTTTCTGATTTTAGTGTAGGTATTGGGACAAGAACAGTTTAATGCTAATCTGACATTAATTTGATCTATTCAGCAATTAAAATTTTATTGTCTAATAAGTAATTTTCATTTGGAACAACAGTTTTCAGTTTTAAATGAAAAAATAAATAAAATTTCAGTCCTATAAATTGTTAATTTTTGCTCTCAATTGATTTTTGATTATAAAAATGCAACACACACTGTAACAACAATTCCATTCAATTTTACAATATTAAAAAAAAAATTGTTCAAAAAATGAAAAAAAAAAAATTTTAGTAAATTTTAACACACTGATTTGGTCTGTTAATAACATTTGAAAAAAAAAATAAACTCCGAAAATAAAAATTAATTTTGTATAATTGTACGATTAAGAAAAAATAAAAAAAAAAAATTAAAAAAAAGCTGCAACAAAAATTTTTACTTTCAAAAAAAAATTCTTAAACTCAAAATTTAATTTAATAATATTGAAGAGAATTTATCCGGTTTTTGACTATTTTGAGAAAATACTGCTCTGTATTATTATTTCTCTTCTGTATAACAGTTTTCTCAATTTTTCTTGTCTTCTCTCAATTATTCAAATTAGTTGAAAATTTTTCTTTATTTAATAATTTTTAGCACTCGATCACTCACTTTAAAAAATTCTCCTATCTTTAATTTGCTATTTACCCCCTCCCCTATTCACAATGGTACTTTGCCAAACAACGAAACAGGGCTGATCAAGTTTAAAAAACGAAAAACTGTAAATTGTTTTCTCAATGAGAAATCGAAACCTTAAAAAAATTCAAAATATTGACGAAAAGACAAGAATCTTAAATAAATCGTCAAAAAATCTCTATTCAAGTCTGTAATATAAATAACTGTAATATTTATAATAAATCAAAAACCGGATAAATTCTCATAAATTTTCGTTTATAGTCAATTTTATTTTAATAAAAAAAAAACAAAAAACGAAAAACCAAAAAAAAAAAAATACAATTGATGACGTTCAAATGACATTTAATGACATTTATTTTATAATTATTTCATTGATATTTTTATAATTAGCATAAAAATTGTTTATATGATTTTTTTCATTGTAAATTTATTTAATAAAAAATTTAAACTTACTTGGCATTCTTTGGTCGTTTATTATCTAATGGTAAAAAATCTTCATCAAAATCTAAATTGAAATCTTCACCAAGATCTCGAGGCACTAATGGTGTTCTCTGATGTGCTGGACTTGTGTGATAACCATCAGCATGAAGCTGCATTTTGTTGTTTATAAATTTTTTTTTTTAAATTTTTGATAGGTTTAACAGCCAGTTGATTGAATTTTGTTTTATTTTTTTATTTTGGGGTCAAGATGCATTTTGATTTAATTAAAAATTTATTGGTTTTATTTTAGTTGGTGTAGTTGCAAAATTTTGATAAAGAAACGGAAATTCGAAAGAAAAATAGAAAAAAAAATAGAAATATCAGTAAAATAGAAGTAAAATCATTTGTTAGGAAATAGTTAACAAAAAAAAAAAAATAATTGAACAAAAAAGAAAATATTTAACCCTCAAGTGCTGCATTTGATTTAGTTTTGTGTTCAATAATTAAAATTTTAATGCTATAATACAAATTATAAATTCATTTAACATTTTATTTATAGTACTGCAATCAAGCTCATTACTCGCAGCAGTCAATACAAAACTATTTTCAATATTTCAGTATAGCTGTCAAGGGTTAAATATTTAAGTATATATAAGTATAATAAAAAAATTAACAATTCATTTAAGTTTTTTTTTTCTGTTTTGATTTCAATTTATAAAGTAATGGAATTAATAAAACTTTAATTTTTTAAGTTATATAAGCTAAGACAGGGAAAAACACAATTATTTTCATTCAATACATTAAACGTTCAGTAATTGAAAAATTTTAATCTATAATTATTTTACATATTATACATATACAATGATATAAAAATATTAAAAATTTATTGAAATAATTTGGAAAGGAAAGTGTGAAAATTGTTTGCAATAAGTGAGATTATGTGATTCGCATGCAAGTTGTATATTAACAGTGAAAAGAGATAACTTTGAACTTTTATACAATAAGTTTTATATTAAAATTTTTACATTATTTTTATATTAAAGTGATTATTAAATTTAGGAGTCACATGAATTGAGATTTGAGTAAAATTAAAAATTATATTTTGTGATTTTGTAATACAGTAGATATTTGTAGTCCAATACTTGTAGTGCAATAAATCGGCGTACGTTTTAAAAACAAACAGTAAAATTTGGAAATGATCTTATAGAGGGGCATTTAAAATTGAAAGACAAATTTGATGCTACAAAAGTTTTTCAGTTCGTGTGTTCGACCGATTAGTTAAATAAAGGCGTATATACCATTTTAAAGACGTACATGCAGTACAATGAATTTTTTAAAATTATAAATGAGATTGAAATTTTGTGCAAGTCAACAAATTATTTATAAATAACTTTAGAAACGTATAAAACTTTATGAATATGAAGAATCGAATCCAAAAATTCACGACATTAATGGGTCTTATTTGAAATTCTAAAACGGTTTGTGCTTTCACTTGATGGACTTCACGAAACTGAAACTGTTAAGTTTCAGAAGTAGAGTTTTTATAGCCTGATTACAAATTGCCGTATTTCTCACACTGCAGAAGATTATTTTCTAATCCTCTTCTCAATTAATTGCAATCTATTTAGATTTTAAAGGTTTTTTTTTTGGAAATTTCTATGAATTTTTAGAAGATAATTGTATTGTTATACAACAAATGCGAGAAAAATGATTAAGTTTTAAACGTACACAACTTATAGTATAACAATTGATCACTAAAAATAATATTGAAATAAAATGACTTTTACAGTTTAACTTATATTTATATAGGAACAAAAAGATTATTAAAATAATTAAATTTAAAAATAAGAATTTTTTTAAAAATTAAATTCGAATTCAAAATTGAATTAAATTAAAACAAAATAATTTATGTGTCCTGAATTTTGAGTGATTTTACAATTTTGTAATTGATAGATGCGGGCTAGATGCAAATTTATAGCTTTTAAATGTATGGTTATGCAATATTAAATTCGAAATGTGTTCTAAAATCTTATACTCAATGAAAAGTGTTTTGTATATGACTTGTATAAATTTTCGTGATATGATCAAAATGGCGTGTACACGATAAAATACAGAAAAAAGAAACAACAGAAAAAACCCTAATATAAAAAAATTAAAATTTTAAATTAATTCCAATTAAAAATATGAAAAATATACAAAAAGAAAAAACTTAAATTATAAAAATTTTAAGATGTAAAATTTATAAAAAATTAAAGTAATTTAAAAAATTTAAATTTTTTACATACTTATGATAATTTTACTAGGCGTTAATTAATATAAACAATATAATATACTTATATGTATGAATATATAAAAATATTTTTAAATTAAAATTTATATATTTAAATATGTAATAATATAGGGCAATCATTACTCGTGCAAGGAACCTTTGTATATTTGATTTTTTTTTTTTTTTCAAAAATAAATATGCATGTAGTTTATATATAGATATGTAGTAAATATGGAAAAAAATAAATATGAAAATAATTATTAATTTTATATATAATAAATTTAATTAAAAAAATATGTTTGTATGTATATATTGAAATATATTATAAAAGAGCATTCCAAAAAAAAATTTACTTTATTTAAGAGAAATTTAAAATTTATTTTTTATAGCATGACACAAGAAATATTTAAAATGAAATAAATTTAAAAAATAAAATATTATTCAACAAATTTAGAGCCATTAATTTTTATTTTTTTTGAAAAATTAAAAAAAAATAAATAATATTTATTGTTGCTAAGTAGGTGAAATTTTACAATATATGATTTCAATAAAAATTTAATGATTTTTACAAATAAATGTTGAAATAAAAATTTATAAAATTTTTTTTTAGCTTTATTATGAATTTTTAACAAAATGGCTCATTAATAAACATTTAAAAAGTTAAAAAAGATGAAAAATTGAACAGAAAATTGAAAATTATTCTGATTTAACCCTCTAGCGCGAATAACGACACTTGTAAGCGGATATTTTTTTTGATATAACAAAAGAAATAAGTTGCAGTTCCAAATAGTTTAACCAGTTAAAAGTTATATTTGAACCAGTTAAAAGTTATCCAGCAAACCAGTTAAAAGTTATATTTGAAAAATTTTTAAACAAAAAATCGGGCATTAAAGGGTTAAAACTTGGTATTTCATTCACATAGACTATCTGTCGTAAGGATAACAAGTTACGTAAATTGGATATTTTGGGGTAACAACAAAATTCTTCTAAAAATATTTTTTTTCTCTATTGAAAATTTGATTTTAATTTAAAGTAAATCACAAATGTTAAAGGGATTTGAAATTATTATGTTACTATGGCGACAATTATTGGTATTAATAAATCGGAAAAAAGAGAGAGAATAGAGAATTGTTACTGAGAAAACACAATGGCGTTAATTCTCTTAGTTGCAGTATTAAAATAGTTGCATGCAACATGTCAAATTGACTAACAGTAGATTTCCGCCACAATTGTTACGTTAATAGTGTTTGACACGTCGCTTAATTATTATGTCAGGTGTCAAGCACAGGCGGTTTTCAAATTTTTTTTATAAAATTATGCAAAGTTTATCAAGATAAATTGAAGAAAGAAATTAATAATATTAACACATTTTTTTCCATCAATTTGGAAAAAAAAATTTGAGAAATACCAAACTATAATTTTTAATTTTCTGTGAAATTTTTTGAATTACAATTTTTATTTATTTTTTTTTTTTAATTATATAATAGAAAATTTCAATATATTTTCTGTATTTTATACAAAAAAGGGAAAAAAAAATTAATTTTTTGTACAATCGTTTTATAAAAGTTTCCATTTTTTTTTTTGTTTTCTAGCACGAGTTCCACAATTGACCCCATACCTTAACAACAGTTCCGACCTGATCGCTAGCAGCTGATTGCCTGTTATCAATTAAACCGTCACGTTCCATATTATCTAAATTATGTGATTCTCTTGTTGATTCACCCAAAAGGCGTTCTCGCATTTCATGGATGTAGGGGCAACGCTGCATTAAATTTATATTACAAAATTCTTTAATTCGCCGTTTTGATAATTTTTTAATATATAATAAAAGTATATATATTTGCCAGCCTTATATAATATGATTTTAAATGTTAAATCTATTTATATGATATATATATATATATATATATGTGATATATGAAAGATACTTGTTCCTTATTGTATTTTGAAGTGGAGTTTTTTAAACAAAAAAAGAAAAAAAATTTTTTTTTTTGTTATTTTCGCAACAGCCACTAAACACAACGATATGAAAATTTTTCAGTCCTACGCACTTTTATTTTTTTGTTTTTGTAAAAAATATGTTAAAATTTTCTTTTATTTTGTAATTTTTTATTTTTTTGCAAATATGAATAATGTAACTAAACATATATTTATGTATATAGTATTATGCATGTATTTATTTACAAAAAAAAATTCTTAATGTAGTTTGAAGTAAATTTTCAGTTCAAGGATCTGGAAATAAAGAAAGAAAATTATGTTTTAATTAAAAAAAAAAAAATATTAAATTTAATATTGAATGTATAAAATAAAATATATTAGATATAATTTTTAATATTACACATTATGAAATACGAAGTGAATGTACTCTAGTTATCCTTTTAAAGATTAAATCAAAGCGACACGTTTTGTATAAGGTGTTGGGAGAAGTAGCAAGCATTACAAATATGTGTAGGTATCTTTATTCATAGTGCTTTGCCATTTTAGCTTAAAGTATATGACATCATTATGTTTTTTGTATGATCGTTATGTATGATAATAATTACAATCACTTCAAACATAATCTTTAATTTAATGAATGACATAATAAAACAGAATAGAGAATTATTAAATAAAAGTACTCGATAATTAAATAAAAATTGAGTTTAAGACCTTTAAAATAAGTAGGTTATTTAATATGTTTAAATATTTCATCAAAAATCAAATAGAGATTTTGACATGATTAAAATTTAATGAGTCAATGAAATTAGAACTCTTTCCTATTATAAAACACAATTAATTGCACAAATAGGCGGTACCAAAATAGTTTTAATCATTAAAATTGCTATTCATTTAACTTTGTAATGTAATATTTGTAGGCCTTACAGTTGAGGTGAGAATCTGCATAGAAGATGAAGGATCTTTTGCAATCCAAAAATTTTTGATAAAATCGTATGATCGTATGAACTGAGACAGATTTTGGTTTAAGTTCGTTTCTATGTTTTATAATCCGATATGCAAAATTTGAATTCCGTGGTTGTCATCCCGAAACTCGTAAAACTAAGTGTGTATAATGGGTGTTTTCAAACTCTTCATAATATTTTTCCTAGTATCGAACACATAAATAAGACAAGCACATTAATTAATAAGAAAATGCTGACCAGTTTTAAGACAGTGATTACAATTTTCAGTTAGATTTGATTATTTAATCGAGTAATTGTAACTAGATCGAAAACTGCTTTCTAAAAATTTAGTGCATAATTATCATAACCTTATTATATGAATAAAATTTGAGAATTTTTTCTTCCAAAAATCTCTGACCAACATCATACAAAATATTCGTTTATAAACGTAAATCGGAATATTATGACGTCTTTAAACAAATTGCATGTAATTTTTATTAATGAAAATTTAAAATTTGAGTACAGGTGTTTTTTTTAAAATTTTCTCAAATAATTTTTAATTTTTTTTTTCAATTTGTAATAACAAGAAAACTTTTTATTTTGAATTCAATTACTTTAAACATGCAAAAAAAAAAAAAATTTGTTTGTTTTGGTTTTTAGAAAACGAAAGTGTGCCAACAAATTGTGGTCGACGGCTGCCTTTATTTGAATAAAAATAAACAAAATAATTTTTTTTTTTTAATTGAAAACAATTTTTTCTGTAGTAGTTTTCCACTTTTAATGTTTATTTTTTTTTTTTTGAAATTTTGTACATGTTGCACACACAGTTTAGCCTTTCATACATTTTAAGTATGTTGGGCAAATAGAAATAAAAAGTGTTTAGGAAGAACAAAAGTGTGTAAAAAGCAGCAAGTGTGCGTTGTAAAAAATGCGATAGTTATAATAAAAGTTATAAAAATTTTATTTTACAAACGATTCAGGCAAAATCTTTTATGCGTAATCTCATAAAATTTTTTGTCCCATAAAATTTATTAAATATATAAGCAGTTTTATTATATTGAAACCATTTCATGTAATAAATGGGGCGATTTACAATAAGTATAACTCTTAAAATGTTATATGAGAACATGTGGACTTGTTAACCTTCGAATTTTCAAAGAAAGTTGCAGAAAATTTCATATGAAATTGAGATTAAACTTTTACTGTTCAAACAGAATTTTAATGAAATCAAACAAATTGCATGAATAATGTTGAATGTTCAAACTTTGTCTTAGACTAACATTCCACTTTCTTATTTTAAAGAAAAAGAAAAATTATTATATAATAAAGAGAATGTGGAAATATCTATTTTATGTGGGAATTTTCGAAAATGCAGGGTAAAAAATAAAATCTGGTTCAAGTTTCTGTCAAATATTTGCAAATTGAATACAAGTTTATAAGAATTAAGGAGTATAATAAGACCATAGATATACTTGTTAGACCTATATGGGTTAAAAAATATTAATATCGCAAGATCTCCCACATATTACAGCACATATAAGCAATCAATGCACAAAATTTTTATAATAAAAGTAAAAGCAACATTTGTTAAAGTCGTTACGAAAATAAATATGCCTGCTTTTCAAAAAAATAAACAAAAAACTAAAAATATCCTTTTAAACCCACAATATTTTAATTTTTTATCCAATTTCACATCTCATATCCTTGCTTGTATATTCTATTAAGTATATGTATATACTTGTACCGATAAATTTAATGTTGTCACATCATAGTATAAGATTTCCAAAAATAAGTTTTAAAAATAATTTTCACAATTTTTATTTCGCAAAATTTGTAACAAAGCTTATAGCTGTGTGTCCTCTTAAATATATTTTGTATATATATATACTTTAACTATGTTATAAATGTTTTTATAGATCAAGGTTCAAATTGAAAATTTTATTTTCAGTTTTTTGTTTTTATTAGATTTTCTCTCAAGAGATTTCACCTTCTGAGCAATCCTCATTCGGTTGGGATCCCAATAAAATTTGAAAATTCATCAAAATCAATATTTAAAGTTACCATACATGAATTTATTTATAAAATTTGATTATGTCTCTACAAATATTCATATATAACATTGGCTTATCTCTAATGTTTTCCAAAAAAAAAGACCAAATAATCATAGGAGAATTGATAAAAGGAAGGCATACAAATTTAAGACCACAATCACATATACTTAATGTAATAAATGTTTTGGAGGTAACCATAAATATTCTGTGTATGTTCACTTATGTATTCTGTGTAGGTTCAAAGGATAAAATAATTTTCTAAAAATTTTCGGTTTAAAAATAAATTGATTAACTTACATTTCCTCTTTTTGTTTTGTTTCTTTTTTTTTTAATTTTATGTTAATTTTTTTACACAAAAATAAAATATCCTTTCCATTTGCAGGAAATCAATTTTCGGAAAGAAAATTGAAAAACTTTGTGAAAATAAATTTGAAATTTTTTGTTTTTGTATTTGACTCCATTAGTAATGATGTTAAAACAATTCCCAATTGAAATGTAGGATGCTAGTAGGTCATATTTTGTTAATATGCAAAGTTGGTGATATTTTCCAAAAAAAAAAAAATATTAATTTATCCTAAGTACAACATGATTTAATATACTTAACAAATTAATGTACAGTTAAGTGATTTATCCTTTCGGGGGAGAAAATTAAAAAAATTTAAATATTTTCAGAAAAATTGGGAAAAATTCTAACATTATGGAAAATATTGTAAAAGTTTGTTCGAATTTTTTAATAAATGTAATATATTTTGCATTTCAAGAGCTTCACCATCCAACACTATGGGGTTATTGTCCAAAAATTATTAGGAGGTCATCTTTTATTTTGTGAATTTGGAACACTTAAAGTTTTCAACTATTTATTCTCACATTGTAAGCGTCCGAACGATTGTCATTCATAGAATTAGAGAGGAAATTAATTCAAAAAAATAAATTGTTTAAACAATGCTGCCATATTAAAATGCAAGATTATATACAAGATGATTTTGCCAAAATTGCTATTTTATATTAAAATTTTGCAAACTTTCAATACACCATAGCATTTACACAATTAAAAAGGAAATGTTGCAACATAAGTATGAACAACAGAGCTGAAACAAAACCCAGGAATTCATTTTAATTTAGTGATCAGTTCATTTCTGTTTTAACATTTCGTATACATTGAGTTTCATCTTACTAATCTGAAATCCATCTATATAAACAAGCATTTTGTATTCCACAAATGTGACTTACATGAACTTAACTGGAAAAAGCTTCAACAAAAAAAAAATTCATCTGCTAAATTCCTTATTTTTCATCACAAATTCCTTAAATATTTACAACTCCTTTAACTTTATATCCTCATACTAACCTAGAGACGTATTTTTCTCTATGTCATTAGTTGGGGATATTTTTTTTTTGTGTTCTTCATTTTTACATTTTTCACTTATTTCTCCACATTCTTATCATTATTTAAAATGAACATATCATGGATCCATATTTACTCTTGCATACACACACATAATATGTAAATACTTATAGTACATCAGTGTGTCAACACACACTCATCCTTTCCAATGTACAGGAATGAAAATGTTTACTGTTATTATTCCCTAAGGAATGAAATGAAAATTTTTTTTTTGTTTTTGTTATTCAACACTAAAATTATATTTTATTTGAATTTGAAAGAGAAAAAGAGAATAGTGACATATATAAAAAAGGGGCTAACAATTGTTATAATGTTTTAGAATAGCATGTTATGCCTAATGTAATCTCCTAACTAAACACTTACACCTAGGTATATGTACATTTAACATATATGGACCACAAATAATTCTAAAGATTTAAAAAGATTTACTGCTTTAACACAGAAACGTTAATTTTCTAAATACCATATTGTATACAAATATATTATGTTTAAGAGAATGTGGGACAGAAGAGAAAACTTAAATGTGGTTACAGAAGGATATGTGTGAATAAAGAAGAGTTTTATGCACATATTATGACATGTACATCTAAAATAACAGAGAGGGAGAGAAAGAGAACGAAATAAAACAAAATAAAAAACCTGAAAGGAATTGTATAACATTTCTAAATGATGAGTGTGAGTTTTACTTCTTTTGACATTTTCTAATATACTTTAATTCCTTAACGTTGTGTATGGTAAGTACTGACTGATTTATGTTCGAATAAGAAAATTTTTAAAAATGATTTAGTTTAATGTAATTTTAATTATGGTAGGTAATTTTTCAATGTAATTTAGTAATAAATAAAACAGAAGATAAATGAGATCCTAACTCCACACTGATTAAGAATAAAAATATTA